TTCTGTCCAGAGGAGTCAGAGATGGACCAGAAGCTGGTGGACGGAACCAGAAGAACCCGACTGAGGAGAACATGGACGTCTAACCAGATATTAACATTTCTGTTTGTATATTTATGACCCAGCAGGTTTTGTCATATTTCCAGAAGACCTTTAATAAATCTATTTAGAAAAAAAAATGCATGAATGTTTTTGTGTTTTTATGATCCCAGAAAATTCAGAGTTTTAGGATCACTGGGAACTCAGGACTGACTAGTGGACGTAAACATTTGTTCACGACTGTATCTCACCGTATCTTCTTCTTACCTCTGTGAGGACGGGCTGCTGGTCTCCTCCCAGGAAGTGCGCCCCCTTGAGGACGTCGGGGAGGAAGCGCCCACTGAGCGGCACCCAGCACAGCTTCCATGATACGAAGAGGGAGACGCTGAAGAGGGCCAGACCACAGGTGGTCACCAGCAGGGACAACAGGCTCACCGACACATCTAGAGATGAGAGATTCAGGGAGCTGCTCAGTGAACAGTGAACACAGACTCTGCCAGAGAAAAAAACGCTGCCAAAGACAAGCCGAGCTCCCCGGGGAGGACAGACTGTGTTTATTCAGAATGCTAAATGAGAGGGAAAGCGTAACAAACTCACACCGAAGGCAAACGTAGAAAGAAATGCATCAGCAGCTACAAACAGGGCGCATTACCTTGATGATGAGGTGTTAGAATGAAATATGAAAACACCGAAAACAGCCGGATCACTGGAGAGCAGGAGACCGATTTGGCTGATTAAAAATTCCTGTTTGCAACCAGTCGGGCTGAATTATTCTCTGCCTCTCTGTCCCTGTTTTCCTCACAGTGTAGCTCCTCTTCTGTTCAGAGCTCTGTGAAGCTTCTCATCGCTCAGACGGAGAAGGAACCAAACGTCTTAGGCTGCATTTGTTCTTCAGCTTGTGTTTGTCAAGTGTAAAACATTAACTTGTTGGATTCACAATCTGAGGAGCGACCAGGACATTTAGATTTAGAAAGTCCACCAGAGCTCCTCAGAACATCTGGTTCTGAATCTGCAGCACCTTTACCTACTGACCAGAGTTCTACCTTCAGACTGTAAATGTTCCAGAGGTCCAGGTCCTTCAAGTCCACAGAGGAGGGTCCAGATGTTTCTATTTTATTTGGGTTAGTTTCACTACAGATGGTTCTGGTAGGTTCTGGAGGTAAAACGGTCCTTCCATTGTCTAGAACTGGTTCTGACCAACCACCATCACACATGCTGATATGAGCCTGGAAAGTTTACCCAGAATGCACTTTGTAAAGTTTCCTCTGGTGAATGATCAGAACCAGAACCACATCCAGGGTACCGATGATTGTTTCTATGACTCTATGTCATAGAAACAATCACTGGTACCACTATGAGACATCCCATAATACTGATGCTACCAGCTGGTTATGGACGACATGAACAGAACCAGGTCCAGTGTTCAGACTGAGACTCCTGGATGGATGTAGAACTGATCTGGTGTCAGGTTCTAGCAGAACCCAGATGTGTTCTTCCTCCTAAATGTCATGTGTCTATCTGCTGCACTGATGAAGTTCTGAGACTCAGAAATGATGGAAAAAGTCCATTAAAGTGATCAATCTGGACCCTCCTCTGTGGACTTCAAGGACCTGGACCTCTGGAACATTCACAGTCTGAAGGTAGAACTCTGGTCAGTAGATGAAGGTTCTGCAGATACAGAACCAGATGTTCTGAGGAGGTTTGGGAGGAACTGATTGATTTAGTTGATTTTAATATGTATTTCCAATAACTTCCTAAACTCTGGTTCCATTGTTGGACTGTTAGTTGAGATAAAAACCATCACTTCAGCTGATTATTTGCCTCCATGTAAAGCTGACTGATGGACACCACCGGAGCAGAGTGGTGCTCTCCATTAGCAGACCAGACGTTTCCTCCTCTAACTGCTTGACAATAAGAGAAGCACAACTAAAAGCTGCGTCCGTCTGCTGAGGTAAGATTCCTTGAAGACCTCCAGAGATGAGCGAGCTCTCTGGATCTTTGTCTCCGGCTTCCTTTGCTGCGAGTCATTTTTGAATCGGCAGACAGAGAATGCGTCTGAGTTTGTGAGCGTCCTTGCTCAGCACAAAGCCCCGCAGACTCCCGAATACAATATCAGCCATAAAGCGAGCAAACACAGTGTCGAAGGTCGGTTATTCACTCATGTCTCGGCTCCACATCATCATCAGAAATCTGTTCTTCAACAGCTGCTGAATGTCACGTTCACAGCGCATTTACATTTAAACTCAAAATGATTCACATCCACACCAGAACGTTGATGATCTCTGGGATCGAAATGACATAAAGAAGTGACAAAAGTCAGCAAGACGTCGACAGAATTGAAGCAATATGCTGCTGCTCCGTCTCAGATTTTGACTTGTTTGTTATATAAAAATATTTTTGGCTGAATTTTGTGAATGTACCTGTTGTGAGACTGAGAATTTTTGCATTTCAACCATCCAAAAAAAACTATGAAGCCACTTTAAAGGTTCAGTATGTACAGAAATAAAACTCCAACAGCCATGAAATGTGGTGAAGACTCAGACAGGATAGTTTATATCAGATCAGGATGATTGAATGGATCCAGCAGAGGACACAGTTTGAATTATTGGTCCTTGAAAACGGGGGAAAATGTAAAATTTTCCAACAAGGCTGGCGTTATGGCCTTGTCTGGTCCAACTTCACCACATCAGGTTCTGCTGATGTTAGAGCCTCAACAGGTGGTGAAATGTGACCAGAGACTGGATTCTAGTAGAACCATGGATCCATCCATAGATAGACACTGACAGGAACTTTCTGGATCAACACCAGCCCGGATTGACAATATTTTGAATCCTTTTACGTTTATCTCTGGTTCTGAAAACAGCTTTCCTTCTACCGTGTCGACTATTTGTCATTCCAGCGCAGCAGAGAGCTTCTATTAATGCTGCTGAGGCCAGGAGGAGATGAGCTCATTTATGGATGCAATTAGAGTTCAGCCCTTCAGGGTCAAAAGAACATGTTATTCTTCAGATGTGCAACCTTGAGAGCGACGCAGACCTTTTCTCTCCAAAGACATCGTCCTCGTGCTCTGGGTTTGATTTAAAAAGAAGTAAGAGCATTATTTGTCAAATAATCCAATAATCTGCTGAATAAATCTTCTAGTTATACAAGTACTCACACAGTTATGTATCAAAAACACATATTTAATCCATTTTCAATCACCTCTTTTTTTAAAAAACAAATCAGCCAGTAGGGGGCGACTCCTTCAGTTTCTCAGATTCTATAGAAATATAGAAACTGAGCCTAATTCTCACAGGCTCTGTTGCATCAGTGAACATTTTCCTCGTGAATGCATGGTTCTGATCTTGTTTAAAGACTTTTTCAAATACAACATGATGTACATTTGGTAAATTAAGGTCCATTTTTTTTTCTTAAACTCTTCATTGTGCTATAGATTTAATTCAAAAAAAAAAAAAAAGAAAAAAAAGTGTGCTATTTGTCAAATAATTATGCCTACGATAATCTGTACAAGTCTCTACTTGTGCACCAAAAACACAACTTTTAATCAATTTTCAACCACAAATCGTTCAAAGTGAAGCAGAAATCTGTATTTTTTCCATCAGCCAGCAGGAGGCGACTCTAAGGGTCACTTTTAATTGAAATATATGAGAAAATGAGTGTATTTGTCACATGATCGGTTGCATCAGTACATATTTTCTGAAAGACTTTGTGGTCTCAGTGCCGAGTTTAAATACTTTTTGAATACATCATGATGCACATTTAGTGAATTATGGAATTATGGCCAACCTATTGTTTTTCTTAAACAGTTTATTTTTTCTTAAATTATCCTCATCGTGCTATCGGTTTAATTTATTTTTATTTTTTTAAAGTGCATTGTTTGTCGAATAACGCTGTAGAAAAAGTCTCCTAATTACAGACGCTCATATCACAAACAAATCTAATCGGTTTTCAGTCACTTCTGTGAACAGTGACGCAGTCTGAATTCCTACAGAAACTCCTGCCATGCACCCGGCGATAGGCCACGGAGACGCCGCCCACATCGCATCAAGGTATAGAGGATGTAATTAAAAGGCACAAGATGTGGAGATTACAGCGTTGAATAGTCTCCATAGCAACGGCCGTCACTGGCTCCTTCGACCAGGCAGGTGGCGGTGAACATGGGCGGATCGTGTGCTCAGGATCCATTAAGCTCCTGCCTGCCTTCGCGCTGCCCTTCTGGCCGCTGTGATGCCATCACACATGAGCTGTCAAAGGCAAAAGACCCGGTGCGACGCCGCTGATTAGGGTGTAGCCGACACCGCCGAACATGTCATCCCACTGAGCCGCAGCAGCTCCACTCTGATCCAACGCTGATTCACCTCCTCGGCTCTCGGAAATGAAAACATCTGCTGAGCGGGGTCGCCCTGAGACGCTGAATGTTGGAGAAAAGTTGTGCCCCGATACGAGGATTGTGTCGTCTTAAACTGGAAACCTTCATTACGCTCCTCAACCTCTGACTGATGGAGGCCATAAACTCGAGTGCTAAACTTAAGTGTTGCAGCCCTCATACTCCTTGAGTGCCTCGTTTTCTACGTCTGCAAGTAGCTTCAGTGAACCACCATCAGTCTCTGCAGCTCCTCACGGTTTTAAAGCCGCGACAGTCCGACATCCTTCTACAGCCTCGTTATCGATTACGTTTTAAAGAGAAACCCATTTCCTGCAGGACTGCATTCGTTTGTAACGTCTCACAAACATGTTTCTCATCAACGTGTTATTTCTTCACTGTTGCTTCTTTTGCAGACAAACAATTGTACATCAGATGGACTTGTCACCACGGCAACCCAGAAAATCAAGAAGAAGCTTTAAATATGTCGCGAAAAAGTCGTATTTTTATTAACCTTTTCAGAACCTTGATCAAGCTTTAACATGTGAACACGTCAAACAAAGCGTGATCTTTTTACTGAAACTCACTAGAAAGTGAGCGAAAACCAAAAGTAAACACAGACAGAAAGTGAAACTAAGACTGATGGTCTTCTGGGTGAACATCCAGTCTCTGGTTTATACCTCCATCCTGCCCTCCAAAGTCCATCAAAACAAAATCACATTAACCTCAAGACATAACTGAGAATGTTGTGTAGTCGTAGCCTAAAACCTGCATTCTCTCTAACAGCCAACAGGGGGCGAAGTCAGATTCTGTAGAAGTCTATTAGAAAATTAGCCGACTTCTGACTTGATTTGTTCCCTCAGTAAACATTTTTCTAATGAGTTGATGGTCTTACTGGCTCATTTCAAGACTTTTTGAACATAGCGTGGTGTTTATTTAGTAAACTATGGTCCCATTTAGAGGAAAATAGACGTTAAAGCAGGACATGTTTTCAGGTGAGACTACATTATCGCTGTGTGTAGTGTCCTCTGGTTCCTTGTCAGATCTCACTCGCTGTATCTGGTTTCACGATACTAAGAT